TGGACCAAATTTTATTTATTAGGCCTGATTGGGAGAGAGTATCTAATCCCTCTCCCCAAACCCTACCCGTCACTTCGCCTCTACACTCTTCACCTTTCCCTCTTGCGCCGCTGCTTTCTTCTTCGACGTTACCCATGGCGATTCCGGTGAAGCTTTCAGATGCTTGGACAGTGGTGGTGTTGGTGGTCTCTTGATTGCCCACCACTGCCCCAGCGATCCCAGGCAACTTCTTCCCTCTCTTTCGGCTGCCAGGCCACCAATCTGGGTAACCGATTCTCTTGAAGCATCCTTCTGCGGTGTGCTTGGTTCCGCCACAGTAGGTACATTTCAATTTTGATTTGTCCTCATTTATGCGAGATGACGAAACCATGGATTTTTCCGATTGCAATGCACCTCGTGTGGCTGCGAACCCACTGCCAAGACCCGAGGGAGCATCTCCCGATGAAGGCCCATCGTATCCCTTTATTATTCCTTTCCTAGTAGCCTCCCTCCTGATTTGGGCGCATGCCTCTTCTACAGAAGGGAGAGGATTTGTTTTGAGTATATCACGTTTTTTTACATCAAACTCTTCGTTTATGGCTTGTAGAAATTGATATAGACGATTTTGTTGTTGTATTTGTGTGAAAATCGTCATATCCTCTGGGAATTTCATCGGGTTTGGTCGCCTCCTGTCGATTTTCTTCCATACAACTTGCAATTGGCTATAGACCTTCTCTAGTGTCTGGCCTCCTTGTTTGATGCTGCTAGCTTTCACCATCAAGTTGTATACCTGCAAGGGATCTTTCCCAGAGCCGTAGGTGGCTTGATTCCCTTCCACAGATCCTAAGCAGTAGGATAATCGATATATTGATTGACAATATCCGATTCTATGTTTTCTAGAATCCATGTTATAATTGTTGAATCTGCCTATCTCCATTTGATAAATTTGGGGTCATCGGATTTGAGAGGTGTGGCAGTGATGTGCTTAAGCCGCCCTCTCAAATCCAATGCCAGACTCATTTTGCGTGCCCAAATGGCGTAGTTCCTATCGTTGAGCTTTTTTGCTATTTTTAGTGGTTGATTGGACGAGCTCTCGGTAGGTTCGGCCTTGGGTGCCAAATTCTGAAAATTTTGAAGAATTTCCAGAATTTGTGCAAGATTGATCGGCTGATTCATCGGGTTGGATTCCTCTGTGTTGGTGGAGCTGCCCGTTAGAGGAGTTTTATCATACATTTTTTTATGGTAGATGAAGAAAGTTGTGTTTCATTCAATTGTGGGATCGAATGAAGGCTCTGATACCATATTAGAATTTACAAAAGAGTATGGTATGTTTGGGAACATGGATTTGGATTTCAAATCCGGATTTGGCTTAAATTCCATGTTTGGGAAACTTAAGCATTTTGAATTTGGATTTGAATCAAATTCTTTACATTCAAAACAAAACTTAATTTGAAATCCATGCACCTCCCCTTGTCATTTGAAATTCAGGATTTCAAATTTTGGAATTGAAATGCATGAATTGAAATGAAATGCTAGTTGTCAAACACTACCTAAGAGAATTCACAACATTCTTTCATATTTTATTTCTACACCATAATAGTGTTTAAATACTACAAAGAGGTATAATAAGGACAATCAAGGAAATAGGATGGAAATTATAATCAATCAAATATATTTGATTGATCAAGAGATTTCCATCAAGGATATTCTCCAACAAGAGAATATTTGATTAGCCAATCTACATTACAATCAAGTATTCTTGATTTGTTTTATTATTTTCAACAAGTAGGTACTCAAGTTTGGTTCTTGAATCCCGTACGTACGTTTTAACCCTGACCACCAGATATTATACCCGCAAGGCCTAACTTAAATGGGTATATCTTAGAGGTCTTCTAGATACTTTTCAAAATCAACATTATTATGGGTATATCTTAGAGTTATTCTAGATACCCTTAACAATACATATTATTTTCACAGTCATCAATATATTAATTATGATTTAATCTTTCATAATTATCATTTTTAATCTGAATATTCATCAAGATTTAATCATCATAATCATCAATCAATAATCATCATCATAATCATCATTTATTAGTAATCAACATAATATTCAATAACAATTAGCGGCCTAACTTCGGTGTTAACACCCTAGCTTAGCGTCATGCATCACACAAGATTCTTTTTCTCAAAAACATCATTTTTAGTATAAAAAATAATCTTTAAAATGATCATAATCAATTGGTATCAAAAATAGCATTTTTCGTTGCTGATAGTGTTTACAAAAAGATTTTAAAATATACTCTGGGTACCCTATATATCCAAAAACTTACTTTGTCGAGACTTTCCTTTTTTCCTTCTTTACTATTATTATTTTTATTATTATTATAAGTATTATTATTAGAATGCGTGCAGCGACAATCCAGCACGCCCCAATCGACAACAGAGGTGGGTAGTGACAACCTGGTGACAATTGCGAAAGACAATGGCGAAGTGAGCGATAATAATAATAATATTAATAATGGTACTAATAATATTAATAATAGTAGTAGTAGTATTAGTAGTAAGAGTAGTAGTAGTAGTAAGAGTAGTAGTAGTAGTAATAATAATAATAACGGTCCGGTTCTAATGACACCGGAGAACGGTGCCACTCCGGTGCCACTAGGTTTTTTGGGCACCTCCGGTGCTCCGTTCGTAAAATTGATGGTTCCTACCCCCTCTAACCTACCCCCTAAACCCCCCACCCTACCCCCACCCCTGCACCCCCACCCCAACCCCGCCGTAAGCCCCCCACAAAATGTGTGGCTATTATGCAATGCATAATAGCCACACATTTTGTGGGGGGGCTTACGGCGGGGTTGGGGTGGGGGTGCAGGGGTGGAGGTAGGGTGGGGGGTGGGTTAGGGGGTAGGAACCGTCAATTTTACGAACGGAGCACCGGAGGTGCCCCAAAAACCCAGTGGCACCGCTAGTGGCACCGTTTTCCAGTGTCACTAGAACTCCACCGTAATAATAATAATAATAATAATAATAATAATAATAATAATAATAATAATAATAATAATAATAATAATAATAATAATAATAATAATAGAAAAAGGAAAGTCTCTACAGAGCAAGTTTTTGGATATTTTAAAGTACTCCAGAATATAATTTCAAAAAAGATGTGACTTGAAGGTAATTTCTCCGAATTGGGGATATCCAACAATAATTTTTTCAAAGAAGAAGATGAAAATATAACGACACAGATGAATATGAAGAAAGAATGGGTGGAAAATCCCAACGAAGTTAGTTTTTCACATATTCTAGGGTGCCGGGGAGTATACCAAAGATAAGATTGGTAGTTTATTTATAATGGTTAATGGGAGTATATTAAGAGGCCTGAAAAAGGAAAAGATCGAGGGAGTAGATGCCAAATTGCCATAATAAACGTGACCTGCAGCATCCGTTGCGACTTGGAAGGCTAGATATCATCTCCACCCAAATCAATTCAATGGCTAAAATTCCCCACAAATCCAACGTTGATTCGATCGAACCAGGAGGAGAAGGAACCCCCTTCCCGCACTGGTACTCGCCGGAAACAGGGATATACCGAAGCAAGCACCCTTCCGTTCAACTTCCGGCAGATCCACTTCTCGATGTTGTCTCCCTCATCTTCTCCCACAACCATTCCGGCGCCGCCTCTCTCGTCGATTCCCGATCTGGGTTCTCGATTTCCTACCCGGAATTTTACTCTCTGGTCAAATCGGTGGCCGGCGGCCTCCACCTGATCGGCGTTTCTCAGGGTGACGTCGTCTTGTTCTTGCTTCCCAACTCCGTTTATTTCCCCGTTCTCGTTCTCTCTGTTCTCAGTCTCGGAGCCGTGGCCGCCCCCATGAATCCTCTGAGCACTTCATTAGAGATTAAGAAGCAAGCTCTCGACGGCAACGTCAGGCTCGCGTTCTCCTCCGTGGACAGAGTCGGAGACTTGGCCGAATTCGGCATTCCGGCGATCGGCTTGCCGGAAGGTACGAACAATCTTGATTTCCCGGCCGACTCTGTTTTCTTCAAGTTAATTAGCACCGATCCAAACTCCGCCCCCAGGCCGAGGATCCGGCAGCAGGATGCTGCCGCCATTCTGTTCTCTTCCGGGACCACCGGGAGTTCCAAGGGCGTCATCCTGACGCATGCAAACCTCATCGCCACAGTCAAACTCTTCGTGAGGTTCGAAGCGTCTCAGTACGAAGGCGGGTGTCGCCGGAGCAGAGAGAATGTTTACCTCGGCGTCTTGCCGATGTTCCACGTGTACGGGCTTTCACTATTCGTGATGGGCTCGTTGTCGTTGGGCTCCACAGTGGTCGTGATGAGAAAGTACGACGAAGACGAGATGGAACGAGCGGTCGAGAAATACGATGTGACACATATCCCGGTGGTCCCACCCTTGTTGAGAGCACTAACTAGAAAGGCAAAGGTGGGGACAAGGGCAGCTACTGTCCTTCTGAAAGGGGTGAAACAAGTTTCATCAGGGGCAGCCCCTGTCCCCGCCGCATGCGTCAAGGACTTCCTGCAGACTTTCCCGCATATCGACTTCATCCAAGGCTATGGCCTGACGGAATCAGGTGCAGTTGGAACTCGCGGGTTCAATACCGCAAAAATTCACAAGTATTCGTCGGTGGGGCTCTTGGCCCCAAACATGGAGGCTAAAGTGGTAGATTGGAATACATTTTCACCTTTGCCTCCCAAAAGTAGTGGTGAGCTTTGGCTAAGAGGGCCTTCCATCATGAAAGGGTACTTGAACAATGAAGAGGCCTCCAAGAGGGCAATAGACCACGAAGGGTGGTTGCACACCGGAGACATTGTCTCTTTCGACGAAGATGGGTACCTTTACGTGCAAGACCGTTTGAAGGACATCATCAAGTACAAGGGCTTCCAGATCGGCCCTGCCGATCTGGAAGCCGTGTTGATGTCGCATCCAGATGTCACTGACGCTGCAGTGACATCTGAGGTCGATGAGGAAGTGGGAGAGATACCGGTGGCGCTAGTGGTGAGAGGGAACGGTTCTGCATTAACTGAGGCAAATCTAATCGATTTTGTGGCCAACCACGTCTCACCTTACAAGAAGGTGAGGCGGGTGTATTTCACAACGTCAATACCCAAGTCCTCTACAGAGAAGATTCTCAGAAAGGAGCTAAGGAAACTCCTCCCATCCAAAATGTAGAGACCTCTTTTACTTGGCAAAGAAGAGGCTAAGCTAGTAACAAAAAGGTTTAATACAATAAATTTACATATATGTATTGGAGTATATATAATGTATTAAAAAAAGCATCAAAATGCAAGTGCACCATATCAATTCTTATTTGCAATTGTATCTTGTCAAAAATGAAAAGAGTTATACCTTAATTACTTAAACGAGACTAGTTTTTGGGATTAGTAATTAATAACCAGCAATTAAGATAATTGTCATGTAAAGCCATAAGAGTTTGGACATTATAATATTTTCCATCTTCACTACTCCCTCCGTCTCAAATTATTTGCAACGTTTGCTTTTTCAGCAGTTGCGGGAACTTTTGTTTATTTCTACGTTTTCATTGGTTATTTGATAAAATAAAATATTCTTGACACCTCTTATTTCGAAGAACTTTTCATGTAGTTTTTTGATATGCAAATTTTATTTTTTATTTCTATACCAATATGTAAATAAAATGAATTGAAAAACTTTGATATTTTACCTCGTGAATACAAATCTGGCAAATATTTAGGGATGAAGGTAGTATAATAAAAACAAAAAAGCAAAAGAAAGTGGCCTGGGCCGGGATTCATACAGTCTTGTCTCCTTGGATCTATCCATCCATGTATTCTTATTGAAGGTGGATAGATTAACAAATTTGTAACGTCTCTTTATTTCACTCCGTCATATTCGTTCCAACCAGGCCACCTCGGGGAAGAATCCTATATATATATATATATATATATACACACACACACACACACACACACACACACACACACACACACACACACACATATAGATGTTGGTTCTGGTGAGAATTCGATCTTAGTAGAGAAATGAGAATGAATCTGGTGCTTTAGATTGTGAGATCTAAGGGCCAGGATTGCATCAAAATTAGGTGCATCAAAATGGTTTCAAAATGCATCACGTCGAAATGCACCAAAAACCTTTGAAAATGCACCATCTCAAAATCTGAGCGCAGGATGCAATCTGAGCCGCACGATGCATGAGATCTAAAGGCTAGATTTTATTCTTATTTCTTTCACCAAGGTGCATTCTCACCTGAACCGACCCTATATATATATATATATATATATATATATATATATATATATATATATATATATATATATATATATATATATATATATATATATATATATATATGAGTAAAATCCAAAATTGGTCCTTTATAACAGGAGGGTTTCCCTATTTAGTCCTCTATTATCAAATATTACCTCAGTGGTCCTTCTTTTATGGGTATCTTTCCACAAATTGTCCCTGTTTTTATCTTCTATCATGTTGGTGTTAATTTGAGGGCTAAAAAGTGTAATTTCGCAATGATAATATTTCTTTTTTGTCACACACAATTCGAAAGGATGTTCCCTTTCCATCGTTTGTGAATTATAGTCGCTTTCTACTACAACCATAGTCTTCAAATGTGGTCTTTCGTCGGAATCCTAGCGCACAATCATAGTCATTATTTTTGTGTTATCCGCTTAACTAATATCAGAACACGTCACTAGACATAATGTTGATGTCAAATTATACTTTTAGCTTTTAAATTAATACCAACATGACAGAAGATAAAAAAGGACCATTTGTGGAAAGGCACCCTTAAAAAAAGACTACGGAGTAATATTTGATAATAGAGGACTAAATATGGAAACCTCATGTTAAAAAGGACCAATTATGGAAATTACTATACACATACACACACATACATACATAGTAATCCAAAAGGCTAGATTATATAAATTTCCAAAAAGGCTGAAAATTTCTGCCCAAATCTTCTACTCCGTATGCATATAAATTGATAACAAGTAGAGGCTAATTCAAGAGTCTTGCAGTTAAAATTTTGGAGAGGTTAAGTAAATATTTCTATCTACTTATAAGAGCATCTCCAACTAATTAGCAATAGTACTTTAGCTGTTGAAATTTTCAGTTCAATTCCAACCATGTAGTGTAAAACAGACTTTATTCAATTTTTTAAACTCCGTATAAAATCAAGAGGCATTAGAGGGATGTAGATCGAATAGGTCTCACCTCTCAAAGAATGGTCAAATGGCTCTGGTGCCCCCTGTGGTTTGGAAAATTGGCACCAATATCCCCTCTATTTTCAAAACTTATTTTTAAAGTCCTCGTGCTTTCAAAATGCTGCACCCGTGCCCCCTCTGATCATTTTCCGGCCATTTTCCGGCGAAAAGGAGGCATTTGCGCATAATTTTTAAATCATAGGGGGTATTCGTGCTCATTTTTTATTTTTCGTTTATTATTTGTATTTTTCTTTTTTTAAATATTTTCTATCTCTTTTTTCTTTTCCTAGTTTTTTTTTCTAATTTATTTTCAATTTTTTATAATGTTTTAAAATTTTAAAATTTTTTGTTTTTGAAATAAAAATAAAAATAAAAAAAAAAAAAATTAACATACATTGCATCTATTTGAAATTAAACATTTTCACTTTTTGTTACGTACTTATTTGAAAAGTTCAAAAAGAAAAACCTAGAATAAAAAAATAAAAATATGGAAAAATAAAATAAAAAATAAAAAATACACAAAAAAGTCTGATACAAAAAATGGACAAGCCTAAAAAAGTCCTTAGAATTGAGATGTTCGAAGAAGATATTCATTTTTTTTCTATTATTTTGTTTCTTATTTTATTCGTCATTTTTTTTGAAATTCTCCAAAAAAAAGTTTACTTTTTTCCGAAAAAACAAATATTGTTGATTTGAGAAGTACATACACATTATATGATACTCCCTCCGTCCCATTTTAAATTGCCTGTTTGCCTTTTTTCTCCGTCCCAAAATAAGTTGTCTCTTAGTTGTTTTCGTAAACTTTTAAAAATAAAATACCTAAACTATTCCTAAAATAAGTCACTCTTCTTCACCTTATCTTCTCATTCATCATCACCCTTCTAAAAAGTAATGACAATTTCGGAAAATCAAGTATATTTTTTATTTTTCTTAAATGTGCCCAAAAATCAAAATAGACGATTTAAATTGGGACGGAGGGAGTAATTTTTTCAAACAAAAATAACTTTAAATTTTATGAGCATTATAAAAATAATTTTAAAAAAACCTTTATTAATAAAAGTAACAAATAAAGGAAGAAATGGAAAACACAAAAAAAATAAGCGAGAGATAAATATCAGCACCGATACCTCCTGTGGTTTAGTAAATATGCAGCAATGCCCCCCTTCTTCGCCGGAAAAATGGCCGAAAAATGATCAGAGGGGGCACGGGTGTAGCATTTTGAAACCACAAGGACTTTTGAAATAAGTTTTGAAAACAGAGGGGGTTTTGGTGCCTATTTTGCAAACCACGGGGGATACTGGCACTATTTAGCCCCTCAAAGAATCAACTCAACCAAAAGCTCAATTTTTGAGGTTGTAGTTTAGAAAATATTTCTTATATTTTTACACGTTCTCTCACGTGCAAGCGTAGTCTTTTTTCGATCTTTGCACGAGAAACTTTATTTTTTTAAAAAAATTGGGGAGCGTTGATTTTCAAATTGCACGTGAACTTATTATTAGCTTGCCTTTTTTAAAAGTAGCTCTCCCATTGGAGCACAGAAAAAATGAATAGTAGCATCTATCCATCTATAATTTAGAAGATAAAAGAGTGATTGGAGTTGCTGTAAGCTAGTCAAAACTGCTTATAATTAATATTTAACTTATATTATAAGTCACCTGATGACATGTTTTTGTATGCTCATAAGTTGACTTATAAACCGTTTATAAGTGAGAAAAAATAAGTAAGTCTTAGCTACTTATTTTTAAATCAGTTTTTTTATTTTTCTGTTTTAACAATATTATTTACAAAACTATCCCTCTTTATTTATGAATTTTTATAAATGACTTATTTAATGTTGAAGTCATTTTACTACTATTAAAAAAATATCGGACTTATAAGCAACTTATAAGTTAAAAACTGTTTATCAACAATAAGTCAATAAGCACACCAGCATGGAGAAACATTCCCTAAGATCCTAAATAAGTAGTAATAGGATTTTTTTATTTCTGCCATCAATAAGAAATAATTATTTATATGTTACGTTATAATTGAGGTATTTTCTCTCGATGTTCCTCAATAAATAATAGTTACGTATATGATACTCTATAATTGAGATTTTTCTCGCGATAACCCCCCGTGAATTGGGGAAGTATTATAATTATAATCTCAGTGGGGTGATTTAGAAAAACATTTAATTTGAAAACGGCTATTTTGAGAACTCACTCATAATTTAGATAATCAAAAATATCAAAATACACTACGCTTAATATATTTGATACACATTTTTATGGAGGACTACCAAAATAATAAATCTCAATTATAAAGTACGTAGGTAGTTATCACTTATTGCGAGTTGATTTAGGTAAACACTCTATATATTATAAAGGACCATTTTGGAATACACCCTAAGAGGAAATATGCCCTACGTCCCAGAATTATTGTCAAGGTCGCTATTTTGACTTCTCGATAACTTTTGTTTTTTTTTCATTTTTTTGATCATTTGATTAAAAATATTATTATCACATTATTCGCATCTTGTTTTGTACAACTTTTAATGTAATCTTTGTTAGACAAGGCGTGCAACTCTAGAGGGGGGTGAATAGAGTTGTTGAGAATGTTTACCGATTTTCGCAGGATTAATAATATAAACGTAAGTGCAGCGGAAATAAAAGAGAGAAGGCAAAGAACACACCGATGTATACTGATTCACCACCTCGTGGCTAGTCCAGTTCCCCGAGAGCCTCTCTCGAAGCTACCACTACTTCCGTTAAGCTTATGGGTGCTTAACAAACCGTTTACAACTCGAGAACTTGAATCCCACAAGCCTCGACACAACTGCTCGTAGATATGCCCTCTACAAGACTTCACAACCAAGGCTTAAGTCACATAAGTCTTGAACAACAAGAAGAACAATCTTCTTCAACCTCTCAACAATAGCTCTCAAAAGAGTAGGAATGAGAAAATGTTTAGCTCTAATGGATGACAAGAAACCTCTCTTAAAAACAAATAGTTTTCTCTCAAAATAATATAAATTTGAGGAAAGATTGATGGAGGATTAACACCTCAAGAACGGGGAGTATTGGAGTGTTTCTTGTTCTCAAAAATGACCAAGGAAGTGTGTTTAAATAGAAGTTGAAGAAATATATCCGTTGGTCCAAGAAAAGAAGTTGTACTGAAAAGATGCAGCATAAAAATCGATTAATGCATCATCATAATCGATTAGTGCATCATCATAATCGATTAATGCACTGAAAAAATCGATTAAATTCGTTTGAGCAAATATCCTTCTGCGCGGAAAAGTGATAATCGATTAAAGTCAAAGGTATTAATCGATTGGTTCCTTTTGGACGAGATAACCGATTAATTCCAGAAGTAATAATCGATTATTGCCACAATAATGTGTGCGAGGTGAAGTACAAAAATGGAGCTTATAGGTTTATTTCCAACAAAAATTTCAGGGGAAGGCTCCCCATCACCTCAATTAATATTCAAAAATAATTTTGAATAAAAGAAAGATATTTGGAGTGTAGAAATTGAGTCCCAAAATTATTTTGTGTGTCAAATGGTGAACACGAAAATATTTGAATAAAATATTTTTGCTTTCCAAAAATATTTTCTAATATTAAAATAAATATTTTGATAAATGTTTGACACACTATTTTGAAACTGACTCACTAAATATATTTTGGACAGTTAAAAGATTTTTCAACTAACTCTAAAAATAAATATATTTTTTATTTTAACTCTCATAAAAATAATTTTGGAGAGAAGATTAATTTTGTCATCCTTACAATACTTCCTAAGAATCAAATAAATAAAAAGTCTTCGGAAATCTTCTACTCTTCTGAGTCCTCCGTTACGCGCTCCGAACGCGTCTGAGACTCCAATAAAATCATGTGCACTTTCTTGAATACGTCAAGGAATGGCACTTCAAGTTTTCGTGTTTGTCGTTGTAGCACTTTGATCTTGACTTGAATAAATTGTGTTTGTCAATTATTGAAACCCGTGAGTCAACACTTAACAACACAGAAAGGGTTGAACTCATGCATTCCAACAATTTTCCCCTTTTTGATAAGGACAAACACATTGAGGATATGCTAACTACAAATAATAAATTAAAGCATATACTCCTATACTCTTCCCCATTTTGGCATTATAAAAAATAATGCAACAAAATAACTTATGCATTCCGGGGAGAGAAAAAAAATTCTAAACAATTAAGAAAAATCACATTCCCCCAAAAATCATGCATTTGTAGGAAATAAAAAACTTCCCCTTAAAATATGCTCTCTCTCCTTAAAAAATAAATCATACAAAAAGATTAACACATAGCAATAATTCCCCCTTACTATATGCAAAACATCCTTTGTATATTCCCCAAATAACAATTATCACAAATAAATCTCAAAGATAACATTTAATTAAAAAAATATTTACTCCCCTTTGATGCAATCTCTTTAGTTAAGTGCTTGGAGTATCCACTACAAATTTGTAGTCTTCAAGCACACCTTTCAAGTGCGTCACGTACCCGACCACCCATCTTGTTCTTCAAGAGCGATGAGGCAATCGTATTTGGAAGGTTGATCGTACTTCCATGAAAAATACGCGAATTCATCTTGTTTGCTCATTTTCTTGAGCTTCGAGCACTCAAAGTTTTGGTGGCCAAGCCTTCCGCACTTGTGACATTTTGGGGTGTTTTTCTTCTTGCTCTTATTTAGCTCATGTTTCAAAAACTCGTTAAAACATTCAATAAAAATATCACAGGAAGTGCTAGAATCACTATCACTATCCGAATAAGAATCACCAATCTCTACTTTTTGAGAAGAAGATGCTTTAAAAGCAATTCCCGTTCTCTTCTTAATGTCAAGAGTATGAGAAAGATGATTTGTTTCGTAAGTCATAAGGTTACCTCGAAGACCGTCGTATGTGATGACATTGTAATCTTGGCCTTCATAAATGGAGTTAACCTTCGACTCCCATTCCTTGGTAAGACTCCGCAGGATTTTCCTCACTAACTCCTTGTCGGTGAAAGTCTTTCCAAGCATATCAAGGTCGTTGACGATGTTTGAAAATCTTTCAAACATGTCCTCTACAAGCTCGTTCTCTTTTATAGCAAATAACTCATATTCATGGGTTAGTAAATCAATTTCTGATTCACGAACTTGCGGCGTACCTTCGTATGTGATTCTGAGCTTGTTCCACATTTGGTTGGCGGTTTGGCAACGAGATATCTTTTGATAATCATTGGCGTTGACAGCACAATACAAGAAGTTTATGGCGGTGGCATTCAATTGAGCCTTCTTGAAGTCGGTTTCATCATATTCATCCTCGTTCTTCGGGATGAGTGTATCGCCTATCTTCTTCATCGGCAAGCTATCTCCATTCTTGATAGCAAGCCAGATTTTGAAGTCATTAGATTGAACAAAAAATCTCATCCGCTCCTTCCAATAGGAGTAATTTGTTCCATCAAAAAATGGTGGCCTTACAGTGGATTGCCCTTCTCTAATCCATGCGTTCAACATTCTCAATTTAATGAATTTTATTTTCAAACATTTATTGAATTTAAAACATTTTTAATAGGTTATATGAAATTTTATTTTATAAAAAATTAATTATATGCAATAACACACACTTTACTAAAAAAAATTAACAAAAAATTTAAATTTAGCCTAATTAGATTGGGTCACATTAGTTTTTGTTGGAGGCATATATACATAAAAATTTAAATTTTTTCATGTTTTACCTTATTACAAAATAACTAGTTGGGGTCATTTGCCCCCTACTCCATTGAACTAGATTCGCCCCTGGTCTTATATTGAAAAAGTCATTATGTTTTAGTCTTATTTAGGTAAATTTCTCAAATGTGATCTCTTCAAAATTTTAAATAAATTTAGACGATATACTTTTTCACTTTCAATGTAAAATAAAAAGGTGAAGTTTTTTTAAACAAAGGAGTATGTATTTAATTAAGGGCACGGTTCCATTGACACTCGCCAACAGTGACACTAACGGTGTCACTACATTTTTGAAGCACTTCTGGTACTTTAATCGAAAAAGTAATGATTTCTATCACTCTAACCCACCCCTAATCCACCCCCTAAAACCCCCACCCTAGATCAACCCCTACCCCACCCTAATCCTGCTTTAAATCATCTTCAAAAATCAAAATTGGATCTTTGTATATATATAATTGTAGGAGTAAATTACCAACATATGTAACAAAAAATATCCATTCTTGGCACAGACTTTTTTTTCCTGACAGTGCAGAACGGATTTGGCTACTCCGTTTTGCCTTCGGAAAGTTTTATTGAAACGGATTAAACAAATCCGTTTTAGGTGTTTAAATTACCAAACGGAGTAGCGTACTCCGTCTCAACTTATTAAAAAAAAACCCCTAGACGGAGTAGCCAAATCCGTTTCGAGTGAAATTAAAGCCAGATGGATTAGCCTACTCCGTCTCTCTATTCGGATAACCTACCCCTTCCCTTCCGTCCACTCATTCGCCACCCACCATCCCAGCCGCGCCACCCACCATCCCAGCCGACCGACGAGAAAGAAGGGAGATCCGACCAGCCGCCGAGAGAGAGGGGCAACCGCCGGGAGAAATCCGACCAGGACGATTTGGATTAGCCTAATCCGTTTCATGGAGGTATTTTTTATTTTTTACTTAATTTATATATATATTTATCATTTTATGATAATATTTAGATTTATTATATATATATATATATATATATATATATATATATATACATATATATATATATATATATATATATATAGTTCGATCAGGTGAGAATAAGATGTTATGAAAGAAATAAGAATGTTTTCATATTTATATTTGATTTCGTAATAGGAAAAAAATGACGTATATTAATGAAAGTATTTGATTCGTGTGTATATATTTCAAGGATTACAAAATAAACGTAAGGAATATTGGTATAAAACTACAAGGTTGAAGAGAGTAAAGGTTCTGAAAAACTTCTTTGTAAACAACATTTGTTTTGGCATTCGAAGTAGGTACTTCGTCCTTTCAAGTTAACATCTTTAACCTACGGAGATTAGTTACTCGAGAGACGACAACATATAGTTGCCCATGACTTAAGACTAGCTTTTTGAGAAGTAATCCCACATGGTTCAATGATTGGCCTTAACGTTTGTTAATCCCACTTTAGTTACTGTCATTATTTTTCTTAGTTAATGACAATGGTACATTATTATCTGGCGGTCTTCAAATATGAAATCAATAGACTTAATCATCTTCAATATGATGATAACATATTATCATAGCATGCTCAAGTTTATCAAGTTTATAGTTCAATCATGTTTTCAATTCTCACTCGTCACCTGATCCACCACCTGACTCATTTATATTTACTTTAAAAAAGATTAAAATAAAAACATTAGCTTTGTTGAGTACTAATAAGAAAGGTCAATGGAAGAGCATGATGGAACAGCGGGCTAGTGGGAAAATAAATAAGATGCCCAACAAAAAATAAAAAAGGATCATTCACTGCAATGGTTATTACACCCACCCTCGGTAACCCCTTTCTGAGGGAAGACTTGAATGACCAATGGGCTAAGGCCATTGTCTTGGGATAGTAAGTTATAACGAGCCACAAAAGACTTAATCGCCCGGAAGAGGAGTGCATTTAAGCCTTAGAGAAGGCTCGAAACCATCCGATATGGTTGAAGTCTCTTGTGTTAACCTGGCTAGGCCAAAAACACTCTCTATCATTACTAGGTTACATGTGTTTATCACCACCTACAACCTAAGCATTAAAAAAAGGTCTACCCGGGTATGGAAAATCAACTGGGCAAACTTGGTAAGAGGTTAAAACTTCCCCATGCCTCCACAAAGATCAGTCAAATACTTCGATTGGGCAGTAAGTACACAACGAAGAAACTCAGCATTAACCGGGAGAAAAGTTGCAATTAAGCAAACTCAAGTATTCAAGTCAAAAGGGACACAAAACATATGAACCAACGGGTCATACGTACACAATCCAATACGAAGGGCACAAGGCTGCTATTACATGTCTTTAACCAGGCATAACTGGGCAAAATACAAGGCTACAAGAAGGAAAAAATCTTACGCTAAAGGAAAGAGAGGAGCCGGCTCATCTTCCAGCACATGCGGCAGGTCATAAGCTTCCAGGCTGAACTCAGGGTCTCGAACTGACAGAACTTCATGGGTGGCAGCCCGCTCTCTCTTTTGACCCACCTTGAAACCATATGAACCAATAGCGGTGATCATTTTTTTCTGATATTCATAAAAGGGGAACAATAGTTTTGTAAATAATTTGATCAAAACGGAGAAACGAAAAAGCTGGTTCAAAAATAAGTGGGTGTTTCTTTGTGCTAATAATAAGCTAGTCAAAATAGCTTATTAGATATTTTTAACGTATTAGCCAGCTAATGACGTATTTCTTTGTGCCTATAAGCTAGAAAAAATAAGTAAGTTATACTTAGTAATTGTTAAGCCAGTTTCACCAATTAAAATCTACTTTTTTTTTACTTATAAGCCACAGACAAACACATCATTTGACTTATAAGTTAAAAATATCTTATAAGCAATTTTGATCAGCTGATGAGCATAAAGAAACACCTGCTACAACATTAAACTTATATCAAAAGAACCCAATATGTTTTTATCCCTTAAATATGATCGTTGGCACTGTGCAATGCTACCCCTTGGCATTATATGTTGACATTTTAGTGTGTTTCTTGGCACTATAGGTTTGCACTCTTTGGCATTATAAATCATATTTTGGAATAAAAACAATAAAAGTATTATTTTGAAAGTTGCGAAGAAAATGTATTTAGGAAGAAAAAGTTTTATTTGGGTAGGGAACAACATACCTTAAAGACATAGTTTCACACTTTAGGACAATGTACAAAGGGGTATGAATTTCGACTATAGCAAGGGTTAACCATATTGAATATTCTCATCAGTTTCCAGAAAGTATTTATATATCTGCACATGTAAATCCATCAAAGCTGAATAAAATGAAGATATCATATTATTGAAAAGAAGCTTCTTCTAAAGACAGAGTATTATACTTGGAAAAATAATGAAATGATTTAGAAAAACTTTGATAATGAATTAAGCCCAAAACTTTAGGTTAGTAAAACCCACTAGCATTAGCAATTAGGTGTAGGAAATACAGTGCAGCAAAATTACAGCAGTTTGGTGATGCTACCCTGCCTATCATTTGCTTTCCTAGTTAGTGCCAAAGTTAGCTCTTTCCAAAAGTAGATTTCCTCTCTCAAGAGCAAGCACAAATACACATTAAAAAAAAGTAAGGTTTCACATGCAAGACTCGAAGTGGTCACCCCTGCACGTGAGGAGGCGTGTTCAAAACCGGTCCCGAGGATTTGGTGGCCCTAGACAAGACAAAAAAGGTTTTGGGCCTAACAAATTAAATTTTACATACATACATATATATATATATATATATATATATATATATATATATATATATATATATATATATTAAAAATATTAGGCCCCAAAAAAAAGGACCTGGGCCGGTAGGGCACCTTGGCCCACCCTTGGCCCAACACTGGGCGTGTTAGAATATAAAACCTTTTCAGGGCCACAACTATAAGCTTGAGCTTTTAGTTGAGTTGGTTCCTTGACAAAAGAGGAAAAAGTGAAAATGTTACTTTGGGCCGAATGAAAAAGGAAAGCAAAAAATTTCATGAGAGCAAGAGTAATTGTAAGGTAAAGGCTAAGATTGACCAAGTCTACCCTGCTATAGAAAAAAAAGAAGCAAAAAGCAATGCTAAACAAGGCTTCTATATGGATTAGGCCATCATTGACCAAGTCTACTTGGCTTAGTATACAGCTAGTCCTTTTAACAAAAGTCAAATCAACTTATTTGTACTCAAATAACAGGCCAGATTCATAATGCTCATGAGCATGGTTTCTAGTTTTATTTGCAAAAAAAAAATGCACCCACAAGTTGCCTCCTTGTTCTTAATAACTTTCCTTCTCTTATCCATAGCCAATTCACAAACTCCAAGAACTGAAAGGCCTATTTTACTTGGCCTCAAAAAACAATGGGGAAATGGAGCATACCTTTACCAGTGGAACTCGACGTCCTCTCCGTGTCAGTGGCCTTTTATTTCATGCAACAAGGGAAGCGTCACAGAGATATGGCTCCCGGGAATGGACATCCGAGGATCATTCCTCGTACCACTTCTGTGCCAACTCAAGAACCTTTCCTCCATAAATTTCAGCACGAACAGCATCTCGGGTCCCATACCAGCTGGCATCTCCAGGTGCTCAAAGCTGGAAACATTGCTTATGTCGACAAATCTTTTCACAGGAACAATACCCGGTGAGTTGTTTTCCATGAAACGGCTGCGTCGGTTAGATCTTCGCCAAAATATGTTATCTGGTGGCATACCCATGCCGTTGTTGGCTTACAGTTTGGAGACTCTTGATCTCTCCAGTAACCGTTTGAACGGATCAATACCAGAAGAAATATCAAATCTATACGGTCTTGTCCACTTGGATCTGTCTGCAAATTCTTTCAGTGGCCCTATACCTGCTGCATTTTCACATTTACATAGATTGTCTAAACTTTCACTTGCTTTTAACAATTTGAATGGAACAATTCCAGTAGAATTTGAACAGCAGCTGCACCTAGAGGACATTGATGTTTCCCACAACCAATTATCCGGAGACATATGGGAAACTTTTTACGCACTGAGGGCTAATCTGACCCTTAGTATTTGTTCGAACCACCTTTCTGGGAGAATCCCAGAAAATCTAGTGAACAATAGATTTCCAAATGGCTGTTTCGATCGAGAAAATTTATGCTCCAGTGTACCCACATTGGGACTGCCAAGATGTGAATCAGATAGTTGTTCTGATTATGCACTTCAGGGACAGAAAAGCTGCAAGTCCATGCCTAGTAAAAGAAAGAAAATCATTATAACCTGTAGTGCAATTGCAGGGGCAGTAATTGGGGTAGTAATTCTTCTAGCCGTGTTCAGGCTTGGGATGGAAAGGAGAACTGTAAACGATAGGGATGATGATGTGAGTATGATTTCATATCAACGGTTAGAATTCAATAAATGGGAGGTACTGGCAGGTCTAATAGATGAGAACTTGGTTGGAAATGGAGGTTCAGCAAAAGTATATAAAGTGATGACAAGGAGAGGCCAGATTCTTGCAGTTAAAAGCATACGGCACCAAGTAATGCAAGGCCACATGCTGGAGAAACAGTTCCTTGCAGAGGTTAAGATCCTAGGAGGAATCAGGCACAACAACATTGTGAAGCTGTTATGCTGCATCACAGGGAATACCACAAAGCTCATAGTCTATGAATACATGGACAAAGAATGCCTTCACAAATGGTTGCATGGGAAGAGGAACCAATCCATGTCTGTTGAGAGTTCTACCCAGTGGGAAAGAAGGCTGAAAATAGCCATCGGAGCTTCACAAGGGCTCTGCCATATGCACCACCACTGCCATCCACCCATTGTTCATCGAGATATCAAGTCTAGTAACATACTCGTGGACTCCGAATTCAATGCCAAGATTGCAGATTTTGGACTGGCAAAGATGCTTGCAAGTCAAGGAGATCCAGAAACCGCATCCGCGGTTGTGGGGACTTTTGGTTACATTGCCCCAGATATGTCTCCCCTATTTTGACAACTTCAATTCCTACTTATAAATATTCTCATAAGTTCAACCATTTTCCTCACAAAATTTCTTTTGATATTGTAGCCACTTTTCTCTTCTTTCTAGCCTATATAGCCACGAAATTTTAAGTCATTTTACTCTTAATATATCCTCCTATCAAGTCATAAGAGAGTTGTGAAGTTCTTGCTCAAAGAGTTATTTTATCCTAACAAACATGTGTTTTGATTCGTTTATAAAAGAGTTTTTGGAACCGTTCTTATTGTTCGTTTACTTCGTTGGAGAGCTTTATAAAGTTTTGTTTGTGTCAATCAAGAGCTTTAAATTCTGCATAAAGTCTTTGTTTAAATCAAGTTGGTAGGCTTTTTTGCATCGTAGAACTTTTAACTTATTTCCCCAAAACTGCAGAGTATGGGAGAACAAGAAAAGTGAACGTAAAGAGCGACGTATATAGCTTTGGTGTAGTCCTATTGGAATTGACGACCGGTAGAGAAGCTGTAACTAGATATGAAGAAGTGAACCTGGCACAATGGGCCCACAGACATCAAAGAGAGGGGAACTCGGTTGTGGATGCCCTCGATGAAGAGATCAAGGGTCCACGTCATCTGAAGGAAGCAACCACCGTTTTTAAATTAGGCCTTGCGTGCACCTCAATATTGCCTTCAAGAAGGCCTTCCATGAAAGATGTTGTGCATATCCTGCAAAGATGCAATGAGAACGATCAATCTCTCCCAAGGGAGCTGATGTAGAATACGGACTGAGGCATCATGAGATATAACAAGTTCCCAATGTAATTTGCATTTCAGTTTAGTAAGGTTAAAAGCAGTCTGTAATGCTTCCACTGAACTTATCAAATGGTCGATGAAACATTCCTTTCATGCTAGTTGTTATATTTTTGTCACAAAGGACACCTGAAGCTAGCCTCCATTTTAGCCAAGCGACTACAATGCAATGAGCAACATCCCCATGTACCCTCAATCATCGAACTAAGGTACCAAAACCTGTCTCTTTTAGGCACTTGGTGTGAATCAACCCTTAGTTCCACTTCCAACTCAATCGCCTGACCACTAAAGAAACATTCCATGTACTCGGTCTTAATCCTGCTCAAACAAAAACCTTTAGATGGATTCCAAGGCATGATGACACACTTCTAGCTTATCATTGAGTCCCTCACGCTTCCAGGGGGGAGGTACCATGGTGCAGAAAATTGGATTATTCCGTTCACGAGGGTATGCTAATGAAGACCGGACCATCTTGAAATGACATCACAAACGACCCAACTATTACGGCTCTAAGAAGATCAATATGATCTCCATAGGCGTGCACATAAGTTCCACTTAAAAGGTCACTCGCAAGTATTTTTGCGTCCTTCCTAACTTTTTAAAACCACTCCCTTTATACACTGTTCTGCATAATGATCAACAAAAGACTCAAACCCCCCTCCCTTAGCCCCAAGACCAAACAAGGAGTAAAAGAGAATTTATAAGGAAACATCCAAGGCAATATTAACATGGCTCTTTAACTAAGTAAACGTTTGGGCCTTGGGTAAGGATAAACCATTCCCGTTCTCTGCAAAATCAAGCGTTGGAGAACTTTCGAGGTCTGCAGAACTTTGGGACTGTGATTTATCAGTGATTATCACTACCACTTCCCTCCCTATCAAGCAAGAAGTCATTTGAAAAAAACCTGAACTTCACTTTTGGATGCAATAGACTCCTTAAGATCAAGACCAACACCATAAATGTATGAAGCTCAAGTTGAAATAAATGTGTGCTGACACTTTTCCATTGGATGTGAATTAGTAAAGCTGCAATCACATATCTATTAACAACTAAGGTCTTATAGCCCAATATTGCCAAAGAGATTATATATTATTATGCAAAAAAAAATGATATCATATATGCTCAAGGTTCTTGCCCTCCTCACAGCATGTTTTGTAAGTGATAAACCCAATATTGGTGGAGACAATTCAGTGAACTTTTGGACACAATTTTATTAAAGCCTGAGGCGCATTCAATCATTTCAATTAATTCCAACGCCATCTTCATCAACTCGACTGAGGGATGACTGTAGGACGCCAGATAATATATCTAAGCGAGCAAACTTTGAAAAGTTTGGAGAAGGAAAGACAGCAAATCTATCTCCAACACATGTTTGTCGGTGAAGACGGAGGGAGTAGTGCAGCAAATTTACCTCGCCGGAGTAGAGAATTGAGAAGAAACCATGGCCAATCGTGAACGACCGACGGAGGGGGGAATATCGGCTCTGCAGATCGGGGGAAGGGGGAGATACACGTGTCTCCAATCTCCAAATTGTCCAGTTTTTAAATTTTTGAATTTTCCCTCAATAAATTTTAATTATGGTCTTTTATTTCCAAGATGCGGCATGGGAATACCACAAACGGCACAAAGCTCATAGTCTATGAATACATGGACAAAGAATGCCTTCACAAATGGTTGCATGGGAAGAGGAACCAATCCATGTCTGTTGAGAGTTCTACCCAGTGGGAAAGAAGGCTGAAAATAGCTATCGGAGCTTCACAAGGGCTCTGCCATATGCACCACCACTGCCATCCACCCATTGTTCATCGAGATATCAAGTCTAGTAACATACTCGTGGACTCCTAATTCAATGCCAAGATTGCAGATTTTGGACGGACAAAGTTGCTTATTTGATTTGAAATTTAAAATTTTTTATAAGTTTTAAATAATTCATGAATTATTTATAGTCAATGTATTTTTTCAATTTTATATTTAGTTGTATAGAAATAATTGTTTCGAGAATATACTTTAAATTTGGATGATCAAAATACCAAAATAACTCTCAATTAATCATCATTTGAGTAATATTATTTACGAACGACTATTTTGGGAATAAATCTCAATTGTAGAGAACCATTAGGTAATTAAAAATTATTGGGGACTGAATTGGGAAAATACATTATTACTAAGGACCATTTTGGTAATTTACTCTAAATTTTTTAACAAAAATTCACAAACTTTGAACATTAATTAAATAAAAGAGTAAATTCAATAAAAAGTCCTTAGTTATAGTTCCTTTTACATATTTAATTCATAAATATCAAATATTAATAATTAAGTCCTCGAGAATTATATTCTTTTCCACGAATGGTCCTTTGTTAACATTTTTTCTTTAAAAACATGGATAAAATTGTAAATTCACACTCCTTTCTCTTCTCAATTAAGCTTCCTCTCTCCCATCACACTTCCTTCCCAAATCCATCGTTGAATTTGAATTTTTGAACCCAAAACCGAAAACATCACTTTTCTGTCAATTGTTTGTCTTCATGTTGAAATCCAAAATCAAAATCCGTAATCTTCATGGATGAATTTTGAGATTCATTTTCTTTGTAATTTCTTGAGACCAACCGATAAAATTCATTCATAAAGGTTATTGGTTTTGATTTTAGGTTTTACTTGGAAGACCAACAATTGAGAGATGAGTGATCGCTTGAGTTTAGATTTAGAACTTCAAACTCAACAACAAGTTTAGGAAGAAGTACGAGAGGAGGGAGGAAGCTTACTTGAGGAGAGAGAGAAGTGTGAATATACAATTTTATCCATGTTTTAACGAAAATATTAACTAAGGATCATTCGTGAAGAATGATACGCCGTATAAAAATTAAGGACTAAATTAGTGATATTTGATATGTAGTGACCAAATATGTAAAACGATCTATAACTGATGATCTTTTATGAAATTACTCTAAATAAAATTTATGGGTAATTTATCTAAATAGAACTAAAACATAATGACTTTCTCAATATAGGACCATGTGTTTTTATTTTCCAATGTAGGATCATTGATCATTACTCATTTGTCATTTTTCAAGTAAATGTTTATCATCACTCGATATTATTCCTCCACTAGACATTATTAATAAGTACTATTTAGAGAATAAAAAAAGTTCAAGTCCTACATTGAGAAATGACTTATGTATTAGTCTTCTATATTGTAAATTTTTCAAAATTTATGTCTCCAAAAAAGTTATATTATATGTTAGCATAAAAATAAATTTATTAGATTTATCTTATAATATATTTTTAGAATATTATTTTATTTAATTAGTATACTATTGATTTTTTTTAATTATAGATCAAAATTTGATCTAAAGTAATTGTAAAAAGTCAAAATTAAACACATACTCTGGACCAGAATAAGTATTCTATGAGATCCCTGTGTCACTTAAGAAATTTTAGTTTAGAATATTTTCGGTATAATGTTGGAATGAAATTATATTCAATTGAGAGTTTAGTTTCAGTATGTTCAAAAAATTGTCCAATGTATTTTTTAGTGTTTTCAGAACTAAAATACACCTTATAAAGTTATTCAAATTTTAAATTGCTAATGTTCATCACAAAGGTATTTCCAAATAAAATGTCAACCTATTCAATTAAAATTTAAAACTAATCTTTACATTTTTTTAAAGCACATATTTTTTTATAAAAGCATGTTGGCGTAATGAAAAAAAAAGTCATCTTAATCTTTCACTCTCTCCATCCCTTTTTTGATTACAAAATGTGGACGAGGTAAAATCTCACGATTTTTTAAGTCATTTTTTAAAAAAATGGGTAAATCAATAAAAAATAGAAATTACACTTTAAAAAACTACATCAAAAGTTCTATAAAACAAGAGCTGACAAGAATATTTTATTTTATCAAATAATTAATGAAGACATACAAACAAACAAAAGTTATTGAGAAGAGAGAAAAATGAAATTGTAATCAAAATATGGACGAATAGAGTATATATTGAGTGTTTAAGTCTTGCCCCATATTTAAAAAAATGAGATTTTAAAATTGAACATTGAACTCAAGAGTATGGAAACATTAAAAAAAGTACATAATTTTGTTTTTTAAAAAAGGAATAACACAAAATATGTTATTCTTCCAAGAATTAAAATCAATAACTAAAACTACTTTAAACAAAATAAATAAATAAAGTATGAAAATATAATTTAAACGCCTAAATTAGGGTTTAGCAAGTACCGAACTGATCTCGAAAAAATACCGAGAAAGAACTGAACGGTCGGTACGATATTTGGAAACAGTACAATGTGATGTCCCATGCCGAAAATCCCAAACCGAATATATTATAAAAATAAGAAATTTTTATATAGTTCTTCACTAAATAATACGGAGTAATTTATTTTGAAAATTTGGTTTAAGTTCTATTATGTGTAAGTTATACATTTATTTAAGTTTTAGTTTTTTGTATATGAATATAAAAAATTCACAAAAATTCGAAATACTATTTTGTGAATACAAACAAAGTTTTGATACACATTTCTTACATTTAAATATTTATTTTTTTGTTTTTATATTTATTTATCTAAATGTACTTTCAATTACAGTATACTCTCTCCTTCAGTCCCCAGTGCTCTGAGATCACAAGTGTACTTTCAATTCTTCAAAAATAAAGAGATATTGTTACATTTTAAAGTGTAAAGTAGGCATATATGTATTCATCTCGATTCGTTTTGAATTTGAAATCGAATCATCTTGAACCATATCGAACTGATATTTCAGAATCGAGATTGATATGGTGTAAAATTTCATACCGAACCAAAATATTTAATAAATTATCTGTACGAACTAAATACTGTATCATATCGTACCATGTTCACCTTTAGGGTGGATAATAAAAAAGAAGTTTTTATTTGGATATAAAGGGAGGAGGGAGTCCCAAAATTTGAAGAGGATGGCATGTGAACAGAAGAGAGTCCTTGCTGAGGCTGTATCTGCTTTTAAAAAGGTACTCTCTTCCAACAAGAAAAACCCTGTAAATCTGCAATTGACCACCCTTCTCTCTCCTCAATCAATATGTTGATAATCATCTGCAAAAAAGACATTTCCTTTTCATTCCCAGGCATTAAATCTCACTCCAAGTAAGTAGTCCATCAATCAATGAAGAGAAACCCAATACTTCAACTTTAGTTTTTCTTTTTTTTTCCCGTCACTTTTTCGTCGGATTACACTGTCTGGATCCAGCAATCTCATGCCATCATCTGTTCGGTAGTCGCATTTCCGTTCGTGAAGAAAAAAGGGTAAAATGGGAACTAGATTTTACCCAATTTTTTTGTGTTTGCTTTACATTCTGCTGCTCTTGGAGGCCATACCTGCCCAGATGCCAGGTTATTCACTCTCTCTGCTTCTTTTGCTAATCTATTTTTGCCCATTCTTGGGTTTTCCAGCAATGTGTTTTATGGATTTATGTTGCTTTTTTTAACAAAAAAAGAAGAAAATATTGATGTTTACCACTTCCGGTTGTTGGTTAATCAAGATTAGATTTTTTTTTTGAAAAAGTACCTTCTACTCAGATCCTGTTATGAACACATTAGTGAATGTAGAAGTAGAAGAAGTTGATCCTTTGTGGCTAAAAGGAAGGGAGAGTAGTCCCTGACTAGCTTCATATAGTTAGAGATCTGGCTTCAACCATTGGTAATTTTATTAATGATCGTGCGAGTAAAATAGACAAAGCGTTACGAGTGAACTACCATAATCACACTCTATTCGTACTAGGAATATTAACTAAAATAGAATAAGATTACTAATAGGATACTTGTAACAATTCCCTTTAGGAAGATTGACTAAATGAGAATAAGACTACTAATAGGAAACTAGTAGTAGTAGTAGTAGTAGTAGTAATAATAATAATAATAATAATAATAATAATAATAATAAAGAATAATAATAGTATAATAACAACATTAATTATGGTTTCAGATACACAAGTTTCTTGCTTTCTGAAGTCACATTTCTCTTTTTTCCTGCTATTTTTTATATGGTTTGTGTTATGGGATTTTTTGTTGGACCCTCAAAGTGGAATTTGATGTTATTTGAACTTGATTTTAGCTTTCAATGGTTAAATATCATTCTTGAGTTTTGTTGAAGCCCAAGGGGCGGGATTTTTCTCATTGAAAATTCAGATGAGGTGCACTAACCATGTTGTTTAGGAGTATTTATGTTGAACATAGAATTTTTGAATCTTGCTTATATGTTTTTACATACTTGCATGGGTTAACAGGTTTCGTGAGTGTGGATTGTGGGGGTAAAGAAAGCTACACAGATGAAATTGGTCTTGAATGGACTCCCGATACTCAAATGGTAAGCGGAGAAACGGCTAATATATCTATTACAAATGAGACAAGGAAGCAATACCAGACATTGAGATACTTCCCGGCGGATAGCAGAAAGTATTGCTACACGCTTAATGTGACTAAGAGGACGAGATATCTTATAAGAGCTACTTTTTTGTACGGCAACTTTGACAACAATAATGTATATCCAAAGTTTGACATCTCTCTTGGTCCAACCAATTGGGCGACTATAGTTATTGCTGATGCTAGTAAAATAGAGTACGAAGAGTTGATATTTCTTGCCACGGATCCTTCTGTAAGTGTCTGCTTATCAAATGCCACCACCGGGCAGCCATTCATCTCCACACTCGAACTTAGACAATTTAACGGCTCCATGTACCTCACTCCAAGCGAAAACAGTTACTTTCTTAGTGTCTCTGCGAGGTTAAATTTTGGTGCTGAAAGTGATGCTCCTATCAGGTATGCGTTTGTTTTCTGTTTACACAGTTTGGTAAAATTGCAATAGATTTTTTTCTGAGATTAAGGTGAAGTGAGAAATCTAAGGATGTGTGTGGCAGCCAAAATCAGCTTATTCTGCTACAAGCCAAGTATGTAGCTTTCCACTTACGGAGTACATATTTGGCCGAAATGGAGGCCATGAAACACGTCTCCTCATAAAATTCAAGAGATTCATATATTTTAGCCTAATAACCATTATCTAGTTGGTTGTCATTGGTTGGAACCCATGTTTTTTTTCACACTTGTTTGATTTGCTTGATAACAATATTCTGTTTTTTCCTTCCTCCAGGTACCCAGACGACCCATTTGATAGGCTATGGGCATCAGACACCATCAAGAAAGCAAATTACCTTGTCGACGTTGCTGAGGGGACTGAAAGAGTATCAACCCTAAATCCAATTGATTTAAGCGCCGCAAGCGAATTACCTCCTCAAAAAGTGATGCAGACAGCTGTGGTTGGCAGGAACGGTTCATTAACATATCGCCTGAACCTAGATGGTTTTCCTGGTTTTGGTTGGGCATATACGTATTTTGCAGAGCTTGAGGACTTGGGCCCACGCGACACTAGGAAATTCAGGCTAGTACTCCCAGGAAATCCTGACATCAGCAAGGCAGTTGTTGATGTCCAAGAGAATGCACATGGGAAATATCGTGCTTATGAGCCCGGATTTGACAACCTATCCTTCCCCTTTGTGTTGTCTTTTAGATTTGGGAAGACATCTGATTCTACAATGGGCCCAATATTGAATGCCATGGAAATAAACAAGTATCTCGAGAAAAGCGATGGCTCCTTGGATGGTAAAAAACAGAAAGAAAAAACAACATTTCACTGTATGGATTGATATACTTAGAAAAAAATATGGTTTCAAGGTCTGGAGGCCATGGTTACATTATACTACCTCCATTTCACCTTAATTGTCGTTTAAGAATATTGCAAAACTTGGTAGTACTGTACTTAAAGTACCTTAACTAAAACTCTGTACTATGTTGGAACTATTAAAAATCACTTTAAATGAGAATTAATGTGAATGAGAAGGCCAAAAATGGAAAATTAGTATTAAATGCCCTCTTGGTTTTATTAAATGACAGGTATTGAACAAATAATCTAACCAAAACAACAGCTACTACGAAACGAGGGGGTGGGGGGGGGGGGTATTCAATGGAAAATTATTAGGAGCACCCTGTTGCGAACACCCTCTAAGTCCATTCTCAGTGACTACAACTACCAGGATGTTCCTCTTACTTCATTGTCACTAGCTAACTTGTTATTCTCACTAGATGGAGTAAAAGAGTGCTAGCAAAGGTGCTCCAAGTAATTTTCAGTATTTAACTATGTCAATAATTGTGGTTGGATATTTGTTCTCACATTCTTTCAATGATCAAAGGTACATTGAAGGGTTTTTTGTTGGGGGGGGGGGTGAGAGGTGAGAGTAAATTAAGCATATACTTTCTTTGTATTTGACTTGTTATGACAAGCTTTTTATTGCGTCTTCTATGAGCTGCAGGACCAGTAATTACGAGTTTTGTTTCAAGCTATGGATCATCACCGTGGGCACAAGAAGGTGGGGATCCATGTTTGCCAGCTCCATGGTCCTGGATTGAATGTGACTCTAGTCTTGGCCCAAGGATTACATCAATGCAAGTTACATTTAAATCTCTTTCCTCATTTTGTCTTGTTGTTTGTTTTATAGTTGGTCTGCGTACATTCGACCCTCCCTTTTCTTTTACCCTGCAATGGGCGGGAGCCTTTGAGGCACTGGGGTAATATTGTTGTTTCTTTTATGGTTAGCCTGGAAGCCAAAAATGAAAAAATAGAGAACAAAATGGGAATGAAAGAAACTTTGGGGGGAAAATAAGAGATACTCCCTCTCTCCCAAAAAAATACTCCTCATTTCCTTTTTTGTGACATCCCCAAAAAAAGACTCATCTTTCCATCTATGGAAAATTTTGTGTGGCCCAACATCTTGTTCTCTCCTCTGCATCACTTTCAACCACAAAAATTCACTTTTCTTAAACTGGAGTTATACTGTTGTGTTAAATTTCCGAAGTCCGAAGAAAAGTAGGTCACATTCTAGGTCACTTTTCGTAAGGAATGTGGAGTGTTTACTATAAGAAATTGGGTGTTCTAGAAAGTCCAAGAGGCTGTGTCATATTCTAATTAGAGCGTTGTTTACTTCTGTAAGAGAGCTTTTTTTTTTGAAAATGTAAGGCAGCAAATTAGTGGTTCCTTTTTCCTCCTAGTAAAAGAGGTATTGTCCTCTTATTTTGAATATGTAACTTTATAAGTGTATAAGCAATGTATGTATTGTCATGTTAAAATTAATAAAGGAAGAGTTTAGTGCCATCTTGCTTTTCTACATAACTCAAACAATTTATTTTAGACATTTTTTCAAACTCATTTTATCTATTTAACTCTATTGTGTTAAGACAAGAAATCTAAGTATGTATACAAAACTCACCATATTTCATTTTCTATTTTCTTTGGTGCCATACATTAGTAAAAATCACCATACTCTAGTTTTATTTGCTTGATGATAGTTTCCTTTTAACTTTTTTTTTCTTCAGAAAACTATCTGGGAAAAATCTGTCCGGAAATACTCCGTCAGAATTTACCAGGCTGAGAAGCTTAACCGAACTGTAAGTCTAATATCCTCTAGACACTGTTTGTCCTTTATTTTTTGATACTAATCCGCATATTGTTATCATTTGGTTTTTAATGGGTTTTACTGGGTTTGTTGTTGTTGATGGTTATATCTGTATTACAGATGGCTTGATGAGAATTCACTGACTGGTCCAATCCCCGATTTTAGTGGATGCCAGAACTTGCAGATAATGTAAGTCATTTAGTTTAAATGTTGAGGCCACTCAAAAGAAAAATTTATATGATGAGATAATTTCTATTCTTTCTAGGCTTCTACCTTAAAATTCTCTCTTTTGCAGGCATCTTGAGAACAATCAGTTGACAGGAGAGCTGCCTTTTTTTATATCAACCCTTCCGAATCTAAGAGAGCTGTATGTATCATGTATTACCTTTGTGCTTCGCACAAACTCCATTCAGCATAGCAATAAAAAAATCTACCTTTGGTCCTACGACTAATAGGTCATTCCTACTTTTGGTCCTTAACATTCATTTTTCCCTCACTTTCCACTCTTGGTCTTTTATGGTGACTTAACAAGTGGAGACTACAGGAATTGGCCTGTAAGTGGTCCAGATGGTTAAATGAGCAGTGGCAAGAATTTTATAGTTGTGCACCAAAAGTGGAAAATGGAAATCAGGGGTCAGGGATCAAAACTGGGAATAACTTTGTCATCGTGGGACCAAAAGAAGAAAATATTGTTACAATAATGACAATGCATTGTGTTTGGATCCATCCTAGACCAAATTATCTCTATGATTAGACTTGGCACATTAAACTTTCTTCTGAGAAGTGCACAAAAGTATGAAATTATCACCACAAGATGAAATTATGCTACTAGCATGCCATCATCACATGACTCTTATCCCACACGTATAATTGATTCTCTAAAATTAGGTAACCCTTTCTGTTTTGAGTTGGGTATTCTTGGAAGTTGGAAGCAACCTCTGTACTTTCCAAGTAGGGACAATTGTATACAAAAATCATAACACCAAAGGTTCTAAGTTGGATGTCCTTGTCGTAAGCTTCTTACAAATTAACGAGTAGATGATATCCCTAAGACGCCATCGTAGGTTTTTTCCACTTCCATGAAAAAATATCATAAGATGATGATGACTTAAGATAGTTGATAATCATCACATGCTACTGACATGTATATGGGGAAAAACTACACTTTTGTGCCTTTATCTCCATCATCCACTTGCTTCTTCTAAGTCGACATTGATGCTCACTTTTTAGTAAATCTAATTATTGCAGGTATGTGCAGAACAACATGTTATCTGGGGTTGTGCCATCTGGTCTCTTTAACAAGGATCTGATCTTAAAGTGAGTATCATTTCTTTACAGATGAATTGAAGTAAATCACGCTTATGGTAGACCGGAATTATCTTCACCAAGCGTGCAATAAGCCTCTCCTAACCTGACCATGTTATGCAGCTATTCGGGCAATGTTAATCTTCATAAAGGAAGCAGTGGAAAGAATCATAAGAAAGCAATTACCGGATCATTGATTGCCGCTGTTGTTCTTCTTGTTGCTATTCTTATTTCTTGCATATTTATAAAGAGTGGAAAGAAAAAGTACCCTATGAAAGGTCAGATGAAGCAGCAACATAACACTACATCACTTTATTTACTTGATTGGATGGACCACCAACCTTCAGATTCTGTATTTTTTTTCAGGACATGTTGAAAAATTTTCACCTCCTCGAAGATTTGCCTCTTCCTTGGATGGAGCAGCTACTGAAGCAGCACATTGTTTTACATTACTTGAGATTAAGGAGGCAACTAGAGATTATGAGAAGAAGGTTGGCTCGGGAGGCTTTGGCATTGTGTACTATGGAAAATTGAAAGATGGAAGGGAAATTGCTGTAAAAGTTCTTGCAAATAATTCTTTTCAAGGAAAGCGGGAGTTTTCAAATGAGGTAAGTTATGTGTGTTGGCTAGATTGGTTTTATGGTTTTTCAAAGGGAGATATGGAAGGAGAATGTACAACAACATCAACAGAAGCCAGAATAATCCCAAATCCATTGTGGCCTTCGGGGTTAAGATGTACACAACCGTATCCCGGTGAAAAAACATAGAGTTTGTTTATGTTAGAACACCTTGATACATTGCTTCATGAGGGTAAATTTGGAAAGTGGATAAAAATCATTTGTTTCCCTAATCTCCATGCAAAAAAAAAAATTGAGACCTATATAGGATTTGGGGGGATACTGTTACACATGCATTTCATTACTTTGCATTTTCACTACGTTGTACCAAACTACACAGAAGAGTCTCTGTTTCATTTAAATCTTGTTACCGTTTTAGCAAGTACAGATTTTTTTCAATATTCTTCGTCTGTTATCACAGGTAGCTCTTCTTTCAAGGATACATCACAGAAATCTTGTACAGTTTTATGGGTATTGCCAGGAAGAAGGGAAAAATATCCTTGTTTATGAGTTCATGCATAATGGGACACTCAAGGAGCACCTTTATGGTAAGATGTGTAAATTGGTTGCTTTGGCCTTATGGCCGCATATAGTTCAGGCATCGGTGACTTTCTAATATATATAAATATTGTATTTCCCGTGGCCTAATGGTAGTTCCACAAACTCTTGAGCAAAGTATCAACTGGATCAAGCGGCTAGAGATTGCTGAAGATGCAGCAAAAGGTTGGTTACATTGAAATCAAATTATGTACTTGTTTTACCCTTCTTGTTCATCTTTACCATTTTGATACTTCTAACCCGTTTTTATGCTTTCTTGAGCGGGGTTAAACAGCCCTTTTAACCTTTTTTAGGCAGGGGTAAGATGGGCATACACCCAGACTCCAAGACCCCACTTGTGTGGCCTCACTCGGTTGTTGTTGTATATTTCAGGGATAGAGTACCTCCATACAGGATGTGTCCCGTCCATCATCCATAGAGATTTGAAAACAAGCAACATTCTGCTGGATGGGAACAGGAGAGCAAAGGTTTCAGATTTTGGTCTCTCAAAAATTGCAGCAGACGGTATTTCTCATGTTTCAAGCATTGTCCGGGGAACTGTTGGGTACCTTGATCCCGAGTAAGAAATTTTCCTTCAAGCCTTCTATCAATTCTTCTTGAAGGCTAAGGCCTCATTTTTAATTTTTTTCGTTTTTGTTTAAAAAATATAAAAAAATGTTTTTGATGATATCTTTTGTTCAGTCTCTAAAAACAAACAGAATATTCAAATTTTTTGACGAATATGAATTTGCTAACATGTTTTTGGTTTTGATATCATTTATACAAATTATTACTTCGTATTATTTTTCACCAAATCATGTAATTTCACAATTGTTTTTATATGCATAACGCTCCTAACAAAAAAAGTTTGATATTTAGATTTTTTCAAACATTTTCGTAAAATGTAAATGCTGAAACATAAAGTAGGACCAAACAAAAACCAAGCCAGACATTGTGAAATTAATTCAAATGCCATCCAAAAACTGACAGAGGGTTTGCAATGTTCATGTATTTATCTTCATTAGCATGCTATCAATTGCCATTTGAAATCAATGACAGTTAACTTTTCGACATACGCTGTTTTTTTACCAGGTACTATATTTCCCAGCAGTTGACTGACAAAAGTGATGTTTATAGTTTTGGAGTCATCCTCCTGGAGCTAATATCCGGTCAAGAAGCAATTTCAAATGAAAAATTTGGTGTCAACTGCCGTAACATAGTCCAATGGGTAATATACATCAGTTCTAATTTTGTAAGATCTGAAATTCAGACTGGAAACCGCCTCCCTGTGAAAGCAGGGGTAAGGCTTAGACCAGCACAAAATCGGATTTGGGCCGGGCCTGAGGCCAACTTTTGCCTGCAGTTCAAGCCCGGCCGTAAAATTCGGGCCAAACATCATGCCCATATCCGCCCATGAAGGTGATCCAAATGGCACATGGCAGCCTGGCTCGGATCCGATACAAATATTTGGATCTAATATTTTTGTTCATATTTTACCCCATACATCATTATTGAATTATAATTGCTTCAATCAACATACCAAAAAGACATATTTGTATAATATATTGTGTGTAATTATTTGTTTATATGTATACCCAGATGGGGCCAAACGTAAAACCCAAGCCCGTCCATATTATGTTATGGCCCGGCCCGCATGGGCTCATATGTTGTCCATATCTGTCCATTTTTAAGGGCGGGATGGGTGGGCCACCCGAGTTTGTGCAGGTCTACTAAGGCTGTGTACATCTAACCTCCCTAAACCTCACACTTCACGAGACCCTCGTGCCATGGGTCACCTTTTATTAACATCAGAAATCCCAAGAAGTTGGATATATATATAAAATGGGCATTCTGATTGAACAGGCAAAAATGCATATCGAGAGCGGAGATCTTCAAGGGATAATCGACCCGACACTGGGGGACGACTATGACATCCAGTCAATGTGGAAGATTGCAGAGAAAGCGCTAATGTGTGTGCAGCCTCATGGGAGCATGAGGCCATCAATTTCTGAAGTTCTAAAGGAGATCCAAGATGCACTCGCCATTGAGAGAGGGGCAGAAGTGGTAAGGGAAGGTGGCAGTTCTGATGACATATCTAAGCAGTCTCTCCATTCCTCCCTCAACTTAGGCTCCATTGATCTTGCTGCAAGTGAGCATTGCCTCTCCATTGATGAATCAATCGCCCGCCCCAGCGCCCGTTAGCTTTTTGGTCTGTACAGTATATATACATATATCCATCTGTAGGATTGCTTCTTTTTTTTTTTGGTTCCAATGAATCAAATACAGCATTTAGGATGACGGATTTCTTGCCCTGGCCAAAATTGGGGTGGATTTATTCAGTAAACCCCTTTTTTGCAACTATATACCATTATTTTTTGTGGGTTCTTATTGCATGAATTGTTTCTGTGACTGGCTTTTCAAGTGTTTTAAATTATGAAATTTAACTTCATTAGCTGGTCCCTTTGCTGGGCTTCTTGTCTTTTCCGGAATCTCCAAGGTTTTCTATTCAATTTTCGTCAAAGAAAGATTTGTGTGGCTCATATTATTTGAATTAAACTGTCTTATTTTAGTTTAAGAATAAGAATTTAATGAATTAATCTATTTTATTTTATTTATTAGACATAATGGTATGGAACTATGATGCTAATTACTTGAATGTTTTCATATAATTACCACAAATATAATGAACTAAAACAGTATAACTAAGCAATTTAGATAGAATTGAATTGAGAGTGTTTCAATAGATTTTTATGGTCAAGCACAATGAGAAACAAAAAACTTGATTTTAAAGGCACCTAATGGCTGTAGTGACTACATGTCCACAATAAGTTGTATGATCTTTCAAAATGATTTTTAGTTTAATTTATACGAGAATTGAGTGAAATTATAGAAAAATACTTCGTATGTGTTCAAGTTGCCGACCTCATTTAAACCCTTGCGTTTGTAGTTGTCGACCTCATTAAGGCCCCGTTTGGCATCAACGTTAAAGATTAGCGTTAGCGTTTTGTAAAATTATCCGACGGTAGCCTTTAGCGTTAGCGTTTTCAGAATTAATCTACACCATTAAAATTTTATCTAAAACGCTAACGCTAATCGAAAACACTGTTACCAAACAAAGCCTAAATCACACTGTAGCCGCTAGCGAAATAAGACTTAGGTGTGGTGTGATCCATCATTCCCATTGCGAGCATGCTACATGTACCCCAAAACTTATACTCTATTTCTACACTAAAGGTATGAACTAATATTTTGATAGTTCATACTGACACGAAGTGTTGGTGCATTAACAAAAATTTACACTGACACAAAGTATTGGTGCGTTAACAAACATTAGCATTACACTAACATAAAATGTTGGTGCATCCATGCGGTGTACAAAATGGGATACAAATTCTTGGGATACAAATAGCATTATTCTTCCCATCATATCATCCCACTCAGCGTCACGTTTAACTTAAATTTTTAATTACCAACGTGTACTTATGAAAAATTCTTACAAAAACCATGTATAAGGAAATCACTTTATTTTAAATACTTATAAAGTACAAATGGAAACACAACTGTGATTTTAATTTCAATATTTAAAGTAAGAGAATATTTTTTTGTTTAAAGGCAATACTTTAATTTTTATAAAAGATGGTACTTTTCTAAACACGGTAATCGCTTAAAAGAAACTTACCTTTTTAGTATGATTAGTATTACGTTGCTTATAATGAAATGACCTTATTTAAAATACGTATAAAGTAAAAAAGGAAACACAATTATTTTTTATTGATTTTTGGAGTTACTTACCATTTCAAAATTCGTTTTTTAACTTAAATTTTTATTTACTAACCTGTATTTATGATTCTTTCTTACCAAAATCGTGTATAATAAAATCACTTTATTTTTAAAACGTGTAATGTGTTCTTTAGGTGTCAATATATAATTATTTTTCGTTTCCATACATAATCGTTTTTTATACATAATACGGAGTAATCGTTTTTCATACCAAGTTAGTGGAATTCATATTTTTATATTTCTATTTCCATGTATAACAATACTAATAGTAATAATGTTTTTGTCCCTTTAATGAATCAATTTATATGTTTCCATAGAATTTAATACATGCGCAATTAAAGAGTATTATTCCATATATGTACGCTTCCATTCAATTCCATAAATGAGGTCAATTTAAGTATTTAAATATAATACTCCGTATTAAACTAATTAGAGCCTGTTGTTTAGAGCTTAAACTCTTAACTTTCAGTTTCTTTCAGTTTATTCAAGTTTTTTCTCGTTGCTTCTAGTTCCTTCTAACTATTCTTATTTTCTTCAAACTCTTTCTACTTACCAACCAATTAATCTAAAAACGATATATTTTTAATGTGATTATTATTATTATTATTATTTGATGGGAACCAAGCCCATCGAGAGAATACCAGCAAATTGGGCCTAAGCCCAATCTAGATCCCGTCCATCAAAAGGAGAATCCGGCCCTGAGAAAATATACTGGGCCGGATAAGGGAAGTTGTCCGTGAGGAAAGATAGGAAAAAGAATAGGGTTAGGGGCTTAAGAATGGGCTGAACCCCAGCCCATTATGAACAAGCCACCAAAAGGAAGGAATCCTAGAGAGAAATTAGGGTAAGCCACCCCTCCACAGGAGAAACAAGGACAAAGAGTAAGGAACGGATGAAGGACAGAGAATAAGAGATGGACGGATAAGTTTGTCTTCCAATGGACGGCTTCAAACTAAGATACATTCCTCCGGGAAAAGCAAGGATGGCTTGAAGATCCTCCCCAGCTACCACGAATATTTTGATGAGATGGTGGCTGGGGAGTGCCTATAAAAGAAGGATAGACTAAGAGAGGAAGGATCATCTTGTAATAGAGAGAGAAAATACTTGAGTAATAATAAAAGATATTCCGGCGATCCTTGAGTATATTCCGATCCTAAGTGGACCGAATAGAGGAAAGGACCGCCGGTTTGAGTTCCCATTCTGTGTGTAGTACTTTCCGTTATTAACAATTACTATTCTCGTATTACCTTTCACTATTATAAGGCCCAGATACCTATATTTGGACCTGGGCCGATCTACAGTCCTTGGGAAAATATTGGGTATCCATCACTGGCGCCACCTGTGGGACCGATTGAAGCTTCCCAGACTTCTGGAAAGTTGATAGCGAGCCTATCTCACTCCTGTTCACTTGGGAAGGCCTCTCCCTAGATTTGGGAAGAATCCGCGGTCCACCCAAAGTGAAGAAGATAAGTTCACGGTCCATCCAGAAGGATTCTTGGTATTAATTGGTCCATCACAAAGGACCGCTCTCATAAGTCGGTCACCCAAAAGGACCGATTCTTTGCTCAAGGACTGCTATCCCATATCGGTCCCCCATTTCCATCAAAGAAGGTTTCCAGTTGTCATTATGGGCAAAAATCGGTCCAAGAGAAACAGAATTGCTGCCAAGACGTGAACCAACTTGGAAGGGAGAGAGAAGCTTTCGTCTCAGGATCTCAGACATCAAATAACTCTCTCCCAGTCCAGGCAGGAAACACAAGCCAAATCTTGTGAACAGAGTTTACACTCTAAAGCCCCTAAGAGTTCTCATCCAAAAGACTCCCAAGCAGCAACAGAGAAGTTCGATGCCAACTCCCCTATTGTCCGAAAATTAATCGGCTGGCTCAACAAAGAAGGAGAGGTTCAGTCCCAAAAGACCCAGAGGGAGACGAGCCAAGGAGAGGGTGAGGAGGTGGAGAGTCAAGGACGCATATCAGTGCACAAGAGGATGCACAAAAATGCATCCCAGAGGCTGGGACCCAGAACTGAGGAATATGGGGAAAATTCTAAGGAGCCTAGCAATGAAGACGCCAGGGATATTCTCAAACTGAGGAAAGAGATGGAGGAACTAAAAAGGCAAATTGATAGGGATGGGTCTTTCGGGCCCACCGTGGAGGTAATTTCCCCTTTTACTTCCAGGGTGATGAAAGCTAAGCTGCCTAGGGGTATGAAAGCCCCTTAAATACGTTACAGAGGAGTCACTGATCCCAATGATCACTTGGCCACATACCAAACTCACATGTTGATGCACGCGGTGGAAGATGAAATCCAGTGTCGCCTTTTCGTAGGGACTTTGGAAGGACCGGCCGTAAAATGGTTCCTCACTCTTCTTAATGGGACCATTGATTGCTTCAAGGATCTTGCTTAACTCTTTCTCAATGCCTATGGAGGAAGGTTCCAGCCAAAGAAGCACTTCACCCATCTTTTCTCCCTAAAGCAAAAGGAGGGAGAAACCAACACTGAGTTGGTGCAAATGTGGAATGAGGCAATCAATGAGGTGGAGCACAAGGATGATAAGACTTCCATTGCACTGTTCATGAGTGTTCTGAGATCGGGAGAATTACGATACCCCTACTTCCTACAAGGCTATGATGGCTAGGGTCAACAAGTTTTGCGCCACGGAAGAATCAGATCGCCTGAAAGGTAAAGAATGAGGGAGCCTTGCACAAAGGTTCAGACAAAGAGAAGAAAGGCGAGAAAACTAAGGCAACCACTCTCTCCATCCTACTCTTAAGTCACTGGCCGCACCAGTGGCAGAAATTAAGAGTAAGGAGGGAGGTGGACAGAAAAGGAAGCGTGGAGACCAAAAAAGAAAGCAGTGGCCCTATGACCCAGAAAAATATTGTAATTTCCATAGAAGGGCCGGACACGCCACGGAGGAATGCATGTTCCTCAAGAAGATGGAAGGACAGATGAAGGAGAGGGGACCGAATGCTAACAGAGAGCCGAAGCAAGGGGGTAATGTTTGGCGTAGGGACGCCCAACCTCAACAACAAATCCAGGAGAACCCAGAAGAATTCCCCCAAGTAGGAGTCATCTTTGGCGGTCCAGAAACGGGAGTCACAAACAAGGAGAGGAATGAATGGGCCCGCAGGCTATATGTGGGGTCCATTGACGTGGGCCAAGTGGCCAAGAAAGGAAGAAGGGAGCCCATTGTCTTCTCGGACGAAGATTTGCCGCTCATTCCTAGTCCTCACCGGACCCCCCTGGTAATTTCTATGGCTATTCACAATTTTTTTGTCAAAAGAATATTGGTGGATACATGGAGCAGTGTCAATGTGTTGTATTGGGAGGCGGCCCAGCAACTGGGAATCAGGAAGGAAGATCTCAAAAGGCTTAATATGCCCTTATCCGGTTTCACCGGAGACATAATTGAACCGGAAGGGTCCATTAAGCTGGAGGTCATCATAGGCGAGCATCCAAAGGTGAGGCATATGAAGATGGATTTTGTGGTAGTTGATATCAAGTGCGCTCACAATGCCATCTTAGGGAGGCCTGGACTAGAGGACTTAGGAGGGGCGCTGTCCCTTGAACACTTATGCCTCAAGTTCAGGACTCCCGAAGGTATTGGAAGAGCCCTTGGTGACCAGCCCGCAGCCAAGAAGGCTTATCTAAACGCGTGCAAGAAGATAGACAAGGAGAACCTCAACATCCAAACCATTGGACAAGCTTTGGAAGATAAAGATAGGGAAGAGGAGGACCGGGAGAGGCCTAAGCCAGCTGTGGAAATGGAAGAAGTGATGTTATTCCCTGATGGAGATCCAGAGAAGGTCGTAAGGATCGGCTTAGGGCTAGAGGAGGATACCCGTGAAGAGATTACCCGAGTACTAAGAGAAAACTCGGTCCTCTTCGCATGGGAATCCAAAGATATGCCCAGAGTCGATCCTTCAATCATTTGCCATAAGTTGAACATCAAGATGGATTCCCTCCCGGTCAAGCAAAAGAAAAGGTATCTGTCCACGGATAGAAAGGAATTTGTGAGGAAGGAGGTAAAAACCCTTTTGGAGGCCGGCCACATTAGAGAGGTCCACTATCCTAAGTGGCTCGCTAATGTGGTGCTTGCACCAAAGGGGGACACATTTCGCATGTGCGTAGACTTCACGGACCTCAACAAGGCGTGTCCTATGGACCCCTTTCCACTACCAAGAGTGGATCAATTAGTAGATGAAACGGCAGGCCATGAACTGTTGAGTTTCATGGATGCCTTCCGAGGATACCATCAAATTTTCATGCACAGAGAGGATGCGGAATCCACAGCCTTCATCACCCCTGAAGGAGTATACTGTTACGTGGTCATGCCCTTTGGACTGCGTAACGCGAGGGCCACATTTACAAGAATGATCTCCTTACTCTTCAAGGAGGTCCTGGGACAAATCATGGAGGCTTATGTGGATGACTTGCTGATAAAAAGTAAGAAGGCAGTGGACTATCCTCAGCACTTAGAAAGATGTTTCAGCATCATGAGGAAGCATAATTTAAGGTTAAATCCTAAAAAATGTGTGTTTGGGGTCCAGGGAGGAAAATTCCTTGGTTATATGGTGAGCAAGAAAGGAATTGAAGTCAATCCTGACAAATTGAAGGCCATCCAAGACATGGAACCCCCAACAAATTTGAGAGAGGTCCAGAGATTAGCAGGAAGGATAGCAGCCCTAGGGAGATTCTTGGCACGATCCGCGGAGCGGTCCCTACCTTTTTTTACAATTTTAAAGGGAGGGGGAAATTTCCAGTAGACCGCAGAGTGCCAGGAAGCTTTTGAAGACTTGAAAGCATATTTGAGCTCTCCACCGGTCCTCTCCAAGCTGCTGGCAGGGGATGTCCTCTTCTTATATTTAGGAGTGGCTCACTTGGCAGTAAGTTCGGTCCTCCTGAGGGAAGAAGAAGGGGTCCAAAAGCCAGTTTATTACACTAGCAGGGCCTTAAGAGGACCGGAAACAAGATACACTCCCTTGGATACAATATACACTATCAAAATTTTAAATCTCACCAAAAGAACAAAATGGTCTCAAATAATAAAAAATTAAAATTAAAATCTCTAAATGGGAAGTTTATAAGTTATGTGACTTTTTTGTGTTTGACTTTAGCATTTGCGAATTCATAATTCATATGGGGTGAGATATACACAAACCTTACATACCCTTGTGGGGTGGAGACATTATTTTTCAAAGACCAACAACAAGCCTAATAAAATTTTACAAAAACTAAGATCTCAGAGAGCATATGTACGCATATTTTATCCTCAATCACATATAAAAGTAAATTCATAAAAAAACAAAAAAAAATTGAAACACAAATTACGTGCATAAAGAGAAGAAATACACAAACTAACCCAAATACTGTATGAAATAGACATAAAACACAAAAGCACACAAAAACACACTACAAATAAGGTATAAAAACACATATGCATAAACTATAAAGTAAGGCCCACAAGTAGACCTCACGACTCTAATTCTAGATTTTTAAGTATTCTTATGTAAGATCATATTCTAAGATAATGAAGTTGTAGGCCATATCTAATCATCGTCTTCCAACTCTTTATGTGATCTGACTACCTATACCCCTTTGCTACAAGTCTCTAACACTATCCAACAAAACTTTCATTTATAGTTTAACGTTATATTCCTATCGCAAAGGAACCTTGTGAGTTGTCTCTTCCTCATCCAACTGAACGTGACATCCACCACTAATAATTATGTTGGATTATACTTCCTCCTTTCCAATTTAAGTTGCCTATTTAGGGTCTATTCTTTAGGACTGGAAAAAAGAGCTGGATGTTGGAATAAACTGGAAGAAACTGGAAGAAATTAGAAAAACTGAAAATAATTAAAAGAAACTGAAAAAACTAGAAAAAATTGAAAAATCTAAAAAAAGTTTTAAAAAATTTTTTATGTGTGGTTTTATATTATTCTCATTCTGATTCTTGTTGTTGTTGTTATTGTTGTTGTTGTTGTTGGTGGTGGTGGTGGTGGTAGTGGTGGTGTTATCACGTTATCTTAATGATTGTCTTTAAGATAAAAAAATATTACGAGTATTATTTTTTCATAAATAAAAAGCTAGTTTAAAAAAATAATTAGAATATAAAATTAGCATAAATATTACACTTCTTGGTCATTTTTTCTTTTTCAAAATGTAGTTTTCTCTTAATTTTCATAATGTAGGACTCCCCACCACATTATATACTTTATATTTTAGATTAAAATATTGATGTTTACCTTATATAAATTTAGATTAAAAAATATTCTATGTAACTATTTATCCATAATTTTTTAAATAGTTTCCTAATTTTTCATGTAGATTAATATACAAAAAAATGGTATTATTCATTTTAAAAATTTGAAGAAAAAATAATAATGAATTTGAATCATAAAAATAGTGAGATGATTAAAAAAGGTTGTAATAATAATATTAAGAATAATAATAATATATTTTTATAGATTGATTTGTCAGAAAGTAGAAAGAATTTGAAGAAAATAAATATAGTTGGAAGAAATTAGTAGAAACTGGAAAAAACTGGAAAAAAACTGAAAAAAAACTGGAAGAACTTGAAGAAACTGGAAGAAACTGGAAAAAACTGGAAAAAAACTAGAGGAAACTAGAAGTTAAGAGTTCAAACTCTAAAGAACAGGCCCTTAATACACATAAGCTCAACCTTTAACCACTTTCTCTACTTATTTTTGTTATTAATTTGATAAAATAATACTCCTTCCGTCCCAAATTATAATGTCACAGGGTCAAACGTCATTCACTTTCTTTCTCAATTTTCGTTAGCAAATTGATAAAATAAAGTAGTATTGTCACTACTAGTTTTGTAGATCTTTTGATGTAGTATTTTAATATGTAATTTTTATTTTTTAACTATATACCATTTGTCATATAAAATGATTTGAAAATAATTTTAGTCAAATATCGTAAACTGAAACAGACGTTATAAAATGGGACGGAGGGAGGAGTATAATCATGTCACTTATAGTTTTGTAAAACTTTTGATTTAATTTTTAAATATAAAAATTTTATTTTTTAATTCTACACCAACTTTCAAATAAACTTAATAAAGTGAACTGAAAATAATTTCGTTCAAACCTCTTAAACATCAACATGCAATTTAAATAGAAATGAAATACAACCCTCACCTCAAAAGAGAATTAAGAAAATATTCTAAAAGAAAGGTTGGCACCAAAAAACTACACATACAACCAAACAAATCAAAAACGAAAGTTAGACTTAAAATGAGGAACTGTATTTTGGGAAAAGTGTTTTTTTTAAAATATTTGTTTACCTGCTTGAGTATCTTATCCATTGAGAGATTAGGGCTAGTTCTCTTCAATCAAATTGGTTTTGATCTTATTCAATTACGTTTTGATCTAATCTAATTGTAGTAATATTTAAAATTATTTTCAATTTGATTTCAATAAAATTAAGTAATAAATAAAAAAGAATAAGGTGAAGAGAACAAGCCCTAATTCAGAGTAAGAGTTGGTTTTAAATAAACGAACCCATGCCATTGTCATGGCACCACACAATAGTCTTTAGCAATTTCTGAATTAGGGATATGAATTCACAACTTGTTGGCAATCACAACCCCTTTTGGCTTTTTATGCCACAGATTAAAGAGATTCGGTGTAATTTTAAACATTTCAATCTCAAAAGAATGACTTGATTAGGTTACATGATTACTTGTTTTGACAACATGACCAAAACAAACGACGGTTTGTAACAAAAACGATGTGTTTGCGCACTAATACATTTACTGAGCAATAACAAATAATTGAGAGTTTCTACTGATACAAAAAAGGGCTTTAAAACTTCCACTAGTGGTATGAGTTAGCCAAACGTATTCTTAAGTCTGATCAGATGAACACAACCTGTGGCAGCAAAGAAGATTGATGCCGAAGCCCAGAGAAGCCGTCTCTATTCCATGCTTCGCATTGGAACCACAAAATGTTGTCCCTGGAAGGAAATGAAAACCAGATGAGAAAAAAAACAGATGGGGCAGAAAACTATGAACATATGCAGGTTGTAGTAAAAACACTTGTGAAAACTATGAACTAATTTTCCTGATAAAGCTTTCACATGGAAGAAACCTTGGGTTTATTCACAACATTGCCACCACAATTTTTTAAAGTTTTCCCTATAGTATGGCTTCATTATCATGCTTGGATCTAAAAGTGCATGTTTTAGGCTTTGTTCTATTCGCCTGATCTGATTGGTTCTAATATGAATTTTTTAAGGTCTGATATGATTGATTTCAATAAGAAAAAGTAGAAAAAAACAAGTTGAAGAGAACTGGACCTTAATGCTTTTGTGAGCACAATCACTTGTTTTTAGTTCTTGCGAAATGTGTGGATAAAACTTAGTTAATTTACTCTTTTCTATCTCCTATGTGTGCAAGAGGGTGCGGAAAATTCTAGTGAGAACCCTCGTTAAGTGAGAACTCTTTATCTCACCCATTTTCAATATAATGGCCATTAGGAACAAAAATTAACAGATGGGAACGTTAAAAATAAAACACCATACTACGTTTTGGGACCATTTGCAATTTTCTTTGCGAAGATGACTCAAATAAAAATATTTTATAAGGACAAAAAAATGCCTATTTTACAAGGACAAAAAATATATTAACCTAACCCGTAACTTAATATGCAATGCAATTTTTATTAACTGGTGATTAAAGTTTGTTTGCACGAATTGGGGGTCTCTTTGAAACATCTCTACTTTTGAGCAAGGATAAGGTCTACGTAGACACTCCCACCCAAACCCTAGCTAGTTTTGAGACGAATACTCTAGGACAGATGGTATATGTGTGACGTGTCTGACCCACTGTTCAAAATGACGAGGTTTAATCCCACCTCATGGCGCATGGCGCACCTCAGGTCTTTTTATGGATTGATTTGCCTCATGGCGATTTAGTCATACACCATCTAGTCTTCTCACCAATGGCGGACTAAGGCTTACACCTCAGGTAATTTTTACCCCAAATGTTTAAGATTGAGGTTAAATTAGTCAATTCAATTAGAAAATTTAAAAATATATACAGTACTTGATACCGAATAACCGTTAGTAACCCTGGACTACTTGGCATTGGTCTCTCCATTTTTCTTGGAAAAATTGTGAAACCGACTACGGTGCATGATCTCTCTCTCATTCTCTTTTTCTATTGCTTATGAGATTATTTTTTGTTCACTGGGTGTGTCTTTTTTATTGCTATAAGTAGGGAAGGCAATGAGACGGGCTCAGTTCAAATATGCATATACCCTACCCCAACCCAAAACTAGTTTCAGATATTTTTCTATGCCCGAACCGAACCATCGGGTTTGACTTTCTACCCTAAACCCCGACTCCCGACCCAACTGACTATTAACAATTTAATTGTCCCATATCAGTTTTTTCAAGAACTTCACCTTTGACACACTCAAGATGCAACTTTGCTCCATTCTAAAGCAACTTCCATGGTAGCATAAATGTTCCGAAATCGATGCATTCTGATGCAAAATGCAACCTCACTTCATTCAGATTTCCCAAGATTCTCTCTTCCTTACATTTGTTAGATCTTAAATCTGACACACCTAATCAGTTTTTAGTGTTTATGAGAAGCCTAATATTTATTTGAACCAAATATTTATTTATTTATTAGTGTGTGGTTCCGGTGAAAATGACTTTTAACGTGAGAAATGAGAATGGTGCAATTGGTTTTATGATGCAATTGGTCTTAGTTTTGATGAGAAGCCACTTTTTATTTGAACTTGTTTGTGTGCATATAGGAATGAACTCCTCTGAGATGACATGATGGTGACATGACACAAAGTGAGTTACCCATTTCAAAAAATAAAATATTACAAAACGGCCACCTTGCATTTGAAGGGATCATATATGCATACTCCCTCCATCCCAAAATACGGAGTAAGGTTTTAGAATTGACCTAACACGGTTATTAAAAAAGATCGAATCAAAATTAATTTTGCATTGTTTTTCCTAAAGAAAATCAAAGATAGAAAACTACTCGTATTTTCCTTTGTTTTTTCTTTCCATACCATTTTCAGGGATTCTTGACATAGCCTAGATAATTCATAAAGTAACAAAATTTAGTAGTGAACTGGCATATGAAGATTTGGATAAACCTGTAAGTTAGGGTTAGGTTGCGCAGCACCTCTGTTAGAGCCTTCTGCAGCCTTGGCAGATCCCTTTGTATCGCCCTACCAAGTAAAGCAGTGGTTTAGTGCTCAAGATTCTGTTTTTAAAAAAAGAACTGAGATCTGAAATGCAAAGCAATATTGACCTACCTCCATCTGGAAAATCCATTGGCCCAACAGGAACAAATAGGCATACAAAAACAAAAGTGCATTAGTTCAGAATCCATGGCTGTTTATGGTCTTAGAGCAATATCTATCCCCATAGATTGCAGATTTCCTACGCAGAAACAAATATTACTACCTCTCTGTATCGAGCGAGATACACCTTGAGAGGCTCGGTATAATCTTCAAATCCTAAAGTAGCCATTGACCATAGCAGATCATCACCATTGATGGTCTTTCTTTTCTCCTTTTGGCATTTGTCGCTTGCCCTAGACCATTTGAGAATGACAATTAACATATAATCCCAAAAGAAATCCAAATAAGCCGATTAGCAGAAATTCATCCTCCTACCAGAAGCAACTATAAGCAGAAAAACCTCGACACATTTACAGCAGCTAATAGAATTGCCAAACAAGCACAATCTTCAACTAAAAGGCACTTAAAAAAAAAAGAAACGAGCTTTAGAAGCAAATCCATACTCGCTGGTGACAAAGCTAATGAACTCTGACACACACTCCTGAACGGTATCCTTCGCATCCTTTGCAATTTTCCCGTTCGCCGGGAGGGCCTTCTTCATGATCCGGCTGATATTCGCGATGGGGAGAAACCTATCCTGCTCCCGAACATTCGACCTGGGGCCGGGACTATGGTCCCCGCTATCGTGGCTGCCACCGCCGGGACTGCCCGGGAAGTGAAACGGGGCCTGACCGTCTGCCATGAGCGCCCGCAGAAGAACCCTGCATCCGCCATAGACGGAAGAAAATAGATGAGAAACGGATGGGATTACATAGAATTGCAGGCGTATATCAGTATATGTACACGCCGTAGGTTATGTGGAATGGATTACCTGATAAATTAGAGGAAGGGGGGGGGGGGGGGGGGGGGNNNTAGAAGAAAAAACGGATGGGATTACAGAGAATTGCAGGCGTATATCAGTATGTGTACACGCCGTAGGTTATGTGTGGAATGGATTACCTGATAAATTAGGGGAAGGGGGGAGAGGGTTTGTATGAAGGCGCGCAATGGAAGGAAGGGAATGGATGAGAGATCGGACGCTGGAAAAGAGAGGAGACGACTGAGATGGAACAACTTGCGATCACTTCTAACTTTAATTTCCTACTTTTTTTCATTCATTCCAATTTTAGCAATTCTTTCCATTTCTTTTTTCTAGTTTCAGGTTCCTTTAATTTTTTTCAATTTTTTCTAATAACGTCTTAGGGTCTGTTTGGTACAAGAAATTGATATAATTGAAATTGAATTGGAATTAAAATTTCATAGGATTCAATTCCATAGAATTGAATTCACCAATTCCAATTCCCTTTTACACTACCAATTCCAAAATCCACATAATTTTTGTATTACCAAACACCAGAATTAGAATTGAAACCCCCAATTTTAATTCCATAGTGTGAATTCCGTATACCAAACGAAGCTTTAAAGAAATTACCTAGATATATTTCATTTATAATTATTACGTCAATAAAATAAATAATTGATTTATAGCTTCTTCTTTAAAGCTTAACTTTTAAGTTTTAAGTTCCAATTTTTTCTAGTTTTTTTAGTTTTCTCGACTCCTTTGAGTTTGTTCTAGTTCTTTTTAGTTTTTTCAAATTTTTTCAATTTTTTCCGGTTTTCCCCATTATTCTTATTTTAGAAATTACCCTAAATAGGACTAAAACAATTTTTTCCGGTTTTCCCAATGTACATGTGCACATTACCATACTTTTTGGTAATACACATAATCATGTTTGGTAATGTAAATGCCTTTTAATCAAAAAATTGCCGCTAGGTACCCTCAATTTTGTGATAAGAACTCGCAAGTCCAATTATTTTTCAAAATATACTCCGGGTACCTTAAAATATCCAAAAAGTTACTCCCGGGTGGCAATCCGTCTCTCAGTTCTTCTTCTTCTTTTGAATAAAAACAATTTGTAATTTTGATTCCTATTTCGTAAATAAAAACATGAAAGTCCTATTTTGCTATAATTTCAATATTTTACTCTTATTTTAGTCCTTTTCCCTTCTTATTTTCTCAATCTTTTTAAAGTCCCAAATAATGAATCTAAATATAATATATCTTTCATGTTATTATTAATATTGTTATTATTATTATAACTATAGTTTATAAATCATTTCAATATTTCTATTTTATTTTTCCCATGTCACTATTTTGTAATTCACACGCATTATTATTTTTTCTTCCATTTTTAATATAAAAAATACTGTTATAGTGTTAATTTTGCACTACCCATTAGAGTGACAATTTTGATATAGTGTCTTGTATATAATGTACTTTTTATAATATACAAGATCCATTGGAGTTGCTCTAACCAGCATTTCTCGTTATAAATTTGTTTCTAATAAAAGGTCTTTTGTCTATATTTGTCTACTTTCTCTTTTGAAATTAACCTGAATTCCACTCTACCTTTTACACAATATTCGCACAACTTTTAATAAACTTAAGGAGTATTTTTTTTTCTTTTAAAGAAAACCTTATAGTTCATTTAAGTTTCATGTTCAATTTACAAACTAAAGTTATTTTTAAATCAATAGAAATAAAAATTAATATAAAATTAACAATATTTATATATATTAAAAACTACCTCAAAGATTTTACAAAACAAGTGGTAACAAGGTTATTTTATACTCCCTCCATCCCAAAATATTTGCTACATTATGCAAAATGAAGCAAAATGTTAAATTTTTTCAACTCATTTTATTTAAAAATTGGTATATACGAATTAAAAATAAAATTTATATATTTAAAAATTCTGTCAAAAGTTCTTCAAAATAAGAGGTAGAAAAAATTATTTATTTTATCAAATAATCAATACAAACGTACAAAAACAATGATTTTGAAGAGTAAACTGTGACATTTTTTTGAGACATGAGGAGTTTTATAAAATGATCAATAAAAATGTATAAAGAAAATAAAATTAGTTTGATCTGTGAATAGTAACTAAGAGTTCTATTTTGAGATGGAGGAAGTAATAATTTTAGAAACAAAAAATGAAGATAAATAGTGGTCTCATTTGTTCTTTGAAGTATACACGTAAGGATGTGGGGAGGTTGCTATAATGAACCCTACAAAAATAGATAGGAAAAAGGAGCCCTCTTTGTTAAAAAGAGTAATATAGCAACTTCTCTACGTGTAATCTAAACATCTCAAAATCTGATGCTCTGCTCACACAAAAGTAATGGGAAGCATCTCTTGGGCACTCTCACTAATCTTACAAAACTCGCCCCCCCCCCCCCCCCCCCCC